GTTAACRCCTCCTCCATCCCATCCTTCACCTGGGGAAACTGAGGTCACCACTGCTGCTGAGAGAGGAATAAGGGGCACTTCTGACCTTTGGGTTGTCACTCGTGGGATCTTCCGTGCTGCAGCAAAGGTGAGAATGTGACAACCCCAGTGAGACTCCCAGTCCAGGACCAGAAGGTGATTCCCTCTGGGAAGCAGGATAATCCTTCTTATGCTGCAGTAATTAGCGTTACTGAGTTTATGTTGAAGCTYCTATGAGGGAACTTAATTAATTATGGTTGATTAATGGGTGTCCCCAGCTAAAGCTGGAACTGGAGACACAGATTTTGTCACCACACTAGGAACATGCTGGTACCAGGTTCACAGAGGGAGGTTTTATCCCTTTGGATGAGTACAGAGAAAGCTGGACTGGGAGCTGACAGTGGGTGCTGAGGTGGTGACAGTGTTTGCTCCATCTGGGAGACCCCCAGGAAAATGTCTGACAGGTTTATCTCTTGTTCCCTCCCTCCGGAGAACCTTCATGTGTAACCAAGGAGGGGAATTTGAAGTGAACTCAGAAAACCAGGAAAGGAGGAGGCACCAGGCAGGTGGGGATATGGGGCTCAGCCCATCCCGAGTATCCAGCACGAGGGATACACCGTACACTGGGATCACTGCTGCTCCCCTGCTGCCTTTGGTCTCCTCCAGCTGGGGTGGGAGGTGGGATGGGGAAGGAGCTGGTGCCTGGGTGCTGCTCCTGTGGTCCCCTCCTGTCCCCTCCACCCCCTGAGCATGGTGTTGGAAGTTGGGCTGAAAAGGAGTTATTTTTAAGCATCACATCTTGGCACAGACTGCCATTCCCATTCTCCATACCTTCCTGGAGAACCCGGGGGGCTCCAGCAGYTTGGCACAGCATCACACCCAGGAGGTCTTGGCTGCCTGGGTCGCCTTTCCTTGTGGAGAGGGATTTGGGCAAGCACAGCCACCATGGCTTGGATGTCACAGGGTCCCCAGGATTTGTATGAGGCAGAGTGGGCTGGGCTGTGCTCACTGCTTTGGGGCTTTGCCCATCACTGTGGCCTTTAGACACCCTGCAGGCTTTGCTGGCTGATTCAGCAGTGAATTACAAAATCAGTTTACTCCCAAAATCAGGAGAGCATCTTTAAAGTCACAGCGTTTTAGAAAAAGGAAAACTGAGGTGTTTTCTATTTGTAGGGTTTTTTCTTGGGTGCTCATTACAGCCTTGGCTGCTCTTGTGCTACTTGGCAGGGTGATGCCCTGCAGAGGACCCACAGGATGGGATCCTGCATCTGGGATGGGATCCTGGGTTCCAGAATGGGATCATGCCCTAGGGTTGGGCATCGCAGCCTGGGAATGGGGCATGACAATGGGAGCACTCTCCTTGGGGAGGTGCTGGATTTTAATTCCCTGCTGTGTGGTAGAGGTTGTCCCACAGTGAAACCCTTTCCAGGTGTGAGCCAGGGAAAAAAAAAGCTCTGGAAGGACAACTAGCAAGAGGGATAAACCTGCAAGGGGAAGGCCCTCAGAGATCCTTGCACTTGACCCTTTTCCATTTGACATTTCTTCATCTCTGCAGCCCATCACTGAGCTGAGTAACACCTCTTATGGCACACTGGCACAGCCCCTCATSCCTCATCCAGAGGAAGATTTGAGGCCAATTCTGCTTTTTGATAACCTTTGAGGCTGCAAATTCAAGCTGGTGGCATGGTCATGGCAGGGGCAGAGCATCCCAGGTGCCCCTGGGGGATGTGAGGATCCACCTGCAAGAGGGACCCTTTCCAAATTCTGCTTTGCTGCCATCCAGCTCCACTGCTGTCRGATGTGTTGGGATTTAGTGTCAAATTTTAGGAGCATCGGTCTGTGAAGGCGGCAGGAGAGGATTGAGGTGGGAGGGTGGAGCCAGCAATGTGCCTTCATTATGGGGGGGATTAGAGAAATATTTGGGTTTATTTTAATGCCAGGCTTATTGCAGGGATTGGGAGCTTAACCTGGCAGCAGAAAAGCGCTCATGCCACTCCAGAACAACATTTACAGTTCCATACTGTCATTCCTTCCCACTGGGAATCAAAACCTCAAAGCTGTTCCTGGTGAGCCGTGGGTACCTCCAGGCTGGAGRGARGTGGSCAGGAATGCCAAACCACTGCCTGTCCCCACCGGGGACTGGGCTGTCCCCTTGCCCTGGCAGCACCCCTGGGACCCTGTTCCTGCACTCCAAAGCTGTGTCTGACACTGCTGCTCCAACATGGCATTAATCCATATTTGCAGGAGTGTCGGCGGCTGCGGGGTGCAGGAGGGGATGGCAGCGCTGGGTTTTGTATTTTTTTTTTTTTTAATTTTTTTTTAAAGGGTTATATAACCTTGGGGATTCTATTAATAAAAATAATGGTTTTGAACTCTGGGAACAGCCAGCCCCAGCAATGAGCAAGGAAATGCTTCAAGTTCAGAAGACAGCAATGGGGAGATAAGGGACAGGCACTCTGGGCAGGAATAGTGGCCAGGGCTGCAGAGGGGACAGAGGGGATTCCCTGTCTGCAGGCAGACTGGTGGCATCTGCCTGTCCCTCCTGCCAGCACCTCCATTCCTGTGCCCAAGGAAAAGGAGAGGAGGTGAGAAGGGGGTTGTTTCAGCCCCAGCATGATGTGGACCCTGTGGATGTGGGGAGGGTGGGCACTCTCATCCTCCTGCACCCATTGCTAAGCAGCCAGCTCCCTGAGATGAACCCTGGGCTGTATCCAGGGCAAAAGTGTAGCAAGAGCAGCCTGGCACAGCCCAGGTGAACATCACCAGGACCCAAAGGATTGCCCTGGRTGGGATCCAGGGAATACTGGTGGTCCTCACAGGCAGAATTTGGGAGGTGCTCGTGGTTCTTCACAGGCAGGACCGCAGGGATGCTTGTTGTCCCTTTGGGATGCTCTTTGTTCCCACAGGTGAAACCTGAGGGTTGCTCTTGGTCCCTGTGGGCCCTGGCCTTGGTTCCATAGGGTGGGTTAGAGAGGAGAACAGCAGAATTGGTGTTAAAGAGGCATGGCTGAGGCTCTGGAATAAAACAGGATCCCTGGTGTGTGTTCAGTGCGRCTTCATGGTTATGAGCAGTGGAGGGTTCATGTCCAAGTTCATGCCCATCAGTATTCAGGAGCTTCCTCCTATAATGCAGGGGGTCATTCTCTTTTTAATCCTCAAGTAGCAGGCAAGACATTTACAGGTTTTGCTATAAAAATTAAGAGTGGTTGAAGCTAAGATGGCTATTAGAGAAATACCTAAATCAGGGCATTTGGAGGCAAAACCCCCACAGTCTTTGGGATGTGTTCAAGTCTCCAGTTGTTTCCCTTTAGTACCAGAATATTTAAAACCTCATTTTTCCATTCAGGATGAACATTGCTTTGGATTTATTGTGTTTCCCCCTTTGCCATGTGGGATTATCAACTTATTTTCCAGAAAGCCTTAACACCCCACTCAGCAGTGGCCTGGGGTTTGGGCTGGTTTGTTTAGGATTTTATTTCTTTCCCCTTTAAATCTCCCTTACTCGAGTTGTCACAGCTTGACAGCCTTGTGCCAGGAACAAGCTGTCATCCTGGAACTCATATCTTTAATTCCTTCCCTCTGATGCTAATAACACCTTAAGATGATTAACTAGGAAAAAAAAAAAAAAAAACCACCATAGTATTTTTCTGCTGTTTGGATGCTGGTCACTGAGTCTCAACACTTCATGCATCTTGGGGAGTAAAACTGGAGGGGTCACCCCTCTCTTCCTGCAGGGTTCTCTGTGGGTTCAGTTTCTGGATTTGAATTGCTGAATATCCATGATTTCATGCTGTCCAAATGCTTTTCTTGACAGTTTAATTTGCAGTGTGGTGACAAGCCCCCTCCCACGTCATCCCTTGGCTGGGGGCCACGCTGCAATTCTCCCTGGGATGTTCCTCTGGGAAAAGCCTGGGCAGCATTCCCGTGCTGGCAGTGCCAGGAGACACTGGAAAGGTCATGGCCACTCCATCCTGCCCCCCAGCCCCATGGCCACCATGGCTGGGCATGCAGCACCGTGCTGTGAGACATGGATTCCTGTCAACATGAGCTTCTTTATATTTTTTAAAAGATGTTTTTGGTCYGGGACATGTTCAAGGCCTGTTTTAGCTTCCCTGTGTCACTGTGGGGCTCCACTTACCCCAGGCACAATAGTGCCAACCAAGCTGATGCTTCCTGCCAGGTTGGTCATCAGCTGTGCTTGGCAGCAGCTTCCACACCTTTTTGCTCATCTAGGAAATCAAGTTCTGGGTAAAATGACACACCATGCACCGTAAATCCCTATAAATCTCTGGATGTAGAGTTTTGTGTTGGTGTGTCTGCAGGTAGGATCCTGCGGGTGAACTGAGCAGGGGAAATAGGAGACAGCAGAAAACTGCGAAAAAGACCTCTTTTGGCTTAAATTCTCCACGGGTTGGTGGGTCCTGCAGTCTGATGAGTGGGCTGATGTTGGTTTAGGTTTTTAGRTCGTGCTTGGAACACTAACAGGGCCCTGGGTGGTGTGGCTGTATCAGACCTTATCATTTGAGTTACTGGGTGCCTCAGTTTCACCAGCAGATGAAAAAATAGCCTATTCCCTTTCTGCTGTTGTGGCAGACTGGGGGGTGGCACTTTCTGCAGGTGTCACAGAACTGGGGTGACCCAGGACAGGACCCTTGGGCCCTGATGCCAGTGATGGCTCCATGRTGGATGTGACACCACTGTCCTCGTTTCCTGCACAGCCCAGGGGTTTGAAGGGATGAGTTTGGGGACTTTGGGATTGTGGTTGGAAGGGGCTCCTCAGCCCTTCACTGCTCCTGAGTGGGGASAGAGAACTAACTTGAGGAAAGAGGGGAGCAATGGGGCAGAGCAAAGCTGCTGCTYCCTGTCTGGTGTAACCTGCAGGCTCGGTGTCCTTGTGCTCTCGGAATCCCCCGCTCTTGGTATCCCTGTGCCCTCCCCATTCCTGGCATCTCCAAGCTCCCGTGTCCCTGTGATCCCCATGCCCCAGCACCCTGGGCACATGGACTCCCAGGRACGCCTGCTCACCTTTTTCTCCTCCCATCTGCAGGAATTGTGGCTGAGCCAGAGACGATGACTGTGGAGAGCAGTGAACCCAACGGCCCCATGCGGGAGCTGGAGCAGGGGGGGCCCAAGGCACCGGTGCCCCCTGCCCCTCCACGGCGCCGTGGCCGCCGCCTGCGGCGCAAAGCCCCGGCAGAGCCCTCGGTCAAGGGGCAGCTCCGCATGCGCTCGCCAGCGGGAGCCTTCATCATGGTGGGCRTCTCAGTGGTCCTGGTGGGCATGACCATTGCCGTGGTGGGCTACTGGCCCCAYCGGGGACATGGGGGCACCGAGGCCAGCGCAGAGAACACCAGTGTGGCGGGGGACATGAGGAGGGAGGTGGCAGCTGGGCGCCACGTGCCCCACAGCGAGAAGCTGAAGCTGATCGGTCCCGTCATCATGGGCATTGGGCTCTTCATCTTCATCTGTGCCAACACGATGCTGTACGAGAACAGGGACATGGAGACACGGCGGCTGATGCAGAAGGGGCTCTACGGCCTGGCAGCGGGGCTGCCTGAGGGGCCTGGCCCCGAGGATGGGCACTGCCAGCACGGAGACAGCCAGTCCATCCCCAAGGCCAACGCCGAGTGCGTGGAGGGCTGCTACCAGGTGGACCTGTCCTGCCAGCCCTGCCCAGGCTCTGGCAGCAAGTGGTCCGACTGCTACGGCCCCAACCGGCTCCAGAGCATGGCTGAGTTCCTGCAGCACCCAGCAGCTTCCCCTGCAGCCTCTCTCCACAGCCTCCGCTCCACTGAGGCCAACCTGAGCCWCCCGTGCCGTGCCAGAGCCGAGTCCCTGCTGTCCTCGGCCGCTGGCGCCTTGGCACTGCCCGTCATCAAGCTCAACAACTGCTTGCTGGGTGCAGCAGCACGGGGGGCTGGGAGGGCAGAGAGGGGCCCTGCTGAGCATCCCCCCAAAACACCACAGCCCTGCCAGGCTCCACTTTCCATCGGCAGCAGCACTGCGCCCTGCAGCACGGATGGTGGCGGTCACGGTGGCCACATAGTCATCAACATGGAYGGTGGCTGTCCCGGCATGGAGTCGCTGGTGGAGCTCAACCCCAGCGTGCACCTCCACACCCCAGGGCACTCCAAATCCCTGGACCTTGGCCAGCCAGGGGTGCTGCTAGTGGCCCCCATCAAGGACCGTAAGAACCGGAGCTGGCCCCGGCTGGACCACGTCAGCCTGGTGGGCTATGCCAAACTGGAAAGTACTGGCGAGTCCTCGGACCGGCTGCTGGAGCCCAGCGAGCCCCCGAGCCGGGGCGACCCCCGACCCAGCTCCTGGGTGGTGGGGATGGAGCAGGGTACACGGGTCTGACATCCCCAATGCCCTCGGGTACTCTAACAACATCCCAGCCCTTCATCCTGGCCCCCAGCACCCACCAGCAACCCCAAAACCCCACTCCCCAAAACTCCAGGAGGGGTTTGGGAGTGGCATTTTAAGCCAATGCCAAGAGGAAGGTCCTGACTCGAGGAGGACTTGTTTAGGGTGGGATGTCCTTCCCCAATGGATGCCCTTGGCCTTACAAACCCTTCTCCTGGTGGCTTTTTCAGAGGAGTCCCCTCTTTGAGACCCCACACAAATTGTGGGATGGGGACKTGGGGGCCGGTGAAGCCCCACCAGCCCCCACTGAACTTTCTTTCAGCGGGGTGGGGGAATGCTTTGAGGGGTGGTGTCCTCTTTTCCAGCCTCAACCCACCAGAAAATTTGCTTGGACAGAGCACGTAAGCCCAACAGGGTTATTAAATATTATCTGGATGCCATGCGGTGCTGCCTTGCCTCATCCTATTGCCTGTGGGATGGGAGGGGAGCACCTGCAGCASTTGGTCCAGAGGGTCTGTGAGACCTTGTGCCCCCACCAGGCTCCACTGGGGAAGGGATGATCCATAAGCAGCTGCTCAGCATTCACAAGATGACGTGATAAGCTCAAGGTTTGGGGATTTTATGGAGAAAAGGGATGTAAAAGGTGCCAAGGGAGTTGGAGGCAGTGAGCGAGGTGCTGCTGCCCACCTGGGGTGCAGAATTCGAGAGCCTCTCTGTGGATCTGGGTTTGTTTGTGCTGGGTTTTGGTGCAATGAAGAATGCAGGTAGTGGCAGGAGGGAGGGGCAGAGAGGTGGGTGAGTGTCGGTGCTGACTTTGCCAGGTCCTGTTTGGTGTYGTTGCGATATTTGATGCCTGTTGGATACAGACAGCATCTGTATGGGATGAGGCCAGAGAGGTGGCCTTGGCACTGGGGTGGATTCCTGGAGAAAAGGGAGTTGGGGGTTCATCCCATGCCATCCTACTCCTTCCAGCTCTCTGTCGGGCAGGAGGAGCTCTGGGATGCCACGAGTGTGTAAGGATGGAGTGATAGACGAGCACAGCTCTGCTCTCCACCAACTCAGGAGGCTTCAAAATGGCCATGGCAGCTTGGTTGGGTCTTTGCCTTTTGCTTTCCCAAAACAAGGGCTTGTTGGGATGGCTGAAATATGTTTCATCTGTATGAAATGTTTGGGGRATTTTATTCCTGTCTCTGCTTCTCMACGCTGGTTGGAAGTGAACRCAGAGTGTCAGACCTTGCAAAGTCTTTCTTTGGACTCCAGATCAAAACATCTCAGCAAAATCATTTGGAAATTACCTTTCCACTACCAGCCCCCTCTTTTCTTGAAAAGCAACCCCCACAGTGTTTTGTGGGGTTTTTTTCTGCTTTACAAGGAAAAGCTATGTCTGTTTCCAATGCCAGCCCTCCCAGAGAGGCTGGGTACAGCATCCCCCTGTGCAGGGAACAGAGATGGGACTGACAGCTGCASTTTGGGGCCAGTTGCATCCCAAAGAATTCGCTGGGAGTGATACCAGCCCAAGCTCAGCTATTTATTTGGCTGCTTAATCTCAACATTATTTAGGCACTGATTCAATGCAATAAACAGCAACAAGAAAAAGTCACCRTCAGGGTCMGCCCTGGAGCAGCATCCCAGGGGAAGTGTCAGGAGGTTGTTTTTGTCTGAAAGTAACTTTTTCCCTGGACTTAACCAGCTGCAGCCAGAGCTGATGGCAGGCACTGAGCCATGCTTTGGGAACTGGCAACAAGCAATTGGAGCCCAAAATGCCACAAGGAGCTGCACCAGAAGCTATTGGGGGCTTTTGTTTTAGTTTTTCCCCTTCATTTTCTGGCTGAGCCTCAGTCCAACCCTAGAAAGTGGCTGAATCACAGGGGAGCCTACCTGGACTATGTGCCTGCACCAGCATTGTCCTCCTGCCCCATCCCCATTCCCARCTCAGCAGCATCCTCCAGGGAGGCATTTCTGACTCACACAGGGATTGTTTCAAAATGCAAAGCTGCTTATTAATTAATCTGGCAAGGTGAGAAGACCTGTGCCTTCTCCACGGAGAGGAACATCTGTGCATCCCTCACCTTCAGCTCCACCTGTGGACACCATTTCCAGAGTATCTGTGGGATATTAACAGTGCAGGTTTTAGCAGATGTATGCTGTCCTCACAGTGTGCTAGGAATAAACTGGGCAGGTRTGGGGCTGGCTTAGAAACAGAAATTGAAAGTAAAAATATACACCCTGGATGGATCCTTCCATTGACTGCTTTGCTGTGGAGCTGTGAAGGGGAACAATTCTGGAAGCTCTTGAGATCTCACACTGTGAAGAGCARTGATTGGTGGTACCTTCTGTTCTGCTCAGGAACAGGCTGGATACACTATGCATTAAATACCCAGCTGTTGGCACCCCCAGGGTATCCCACCCMAGGAGGTGGCCACTGCAAGAAGAGATTCCTGCCAAAAGAAGGAGGATTTAATCAAAAACGCCAGCAAAAAAAAATTGGGGGGTTGTCCCCAGCATCAATGTCCAGGCTGACGAGGACCAACCCTGGGGATCCAATGAGAAGAACATGGAGGTTGGAGAGACGAAGGGCCCCACTTTCTGCAGTTAACCCCCAGCACAAAGGCACTCTCAGCTGCTGCATGGCTACAGGACAGCTTAGTGTGGACCAAAACCTGATAAAATGTGAAAAAGGTGTTGAGGGAACCATTGCCACAGGCTGTGTGTGGGAGATGAGCCCTGGGGAGGTGCAGATCCTGCTGGTGGCTGTGAGAAGTTCTCTCATGCCCAGGGACACCCCAGTAGTGCCAGCGTGTCTCTGAATTTGCTGCTGGGACAGCTCTGTCCCCAGGGAACACAATAACCACACCCTGAGCCACCCATGGTACTGCTCAGCCCTCGGCTGGTTTGAGCCTTCTCTCTTTTTCTCCGTCTCCTCCTCCTCTCCCCACAGTGAAGCAGGTCACAGCCATCAATCTGTTTGGCCAGAGAGCCCTTCCAGAAGATTTAAACTCTGTGGGGAGGCGAGGGCTCTGCTCCCAGCGTGCACTTGYAGTACAGCCAGGAATGAGTGATCCTGGCCATGAATCTGCCGAGGTGTTGGAAAGATGAAGTGTTGGAGACAGTGTGACCTCTGCTGGGTGACAGTGTGGCTTTTGTCCTTCATGGTTAAAGATGGGTGGGGGTGATGGGTGTGGGGTGCTCCCCAGGGCTGTAACACCATGGGATCTTTTGMCAGGGGGCTGATTTTTGTTGCTTTRTTTTTGAAAAGGGCAATAGTGTGATACTAAATGCCTCTTGGCATTAATGACCCAGAACTGAGCCAAAGGCACATATCCTAGTGTTTCCCAGTATCCAAAGGAGCAGGCATGGAGCTGGGATGGGGCAGGAGCTGAGGTGAGTTTGGGAGTAGTTGCTTAATTTTTTTTTCTTCTTTTTCTGTGGATTTGGGGGTGTCTCGTACAGGCTCCCTGCCACCCCAGGCTCTGCACATTAATCCTRCTACAGAAATGGCCTGAGCAATGTAGGATGGATGCCTTTGGGGCTCTTCCTGGGTCCACAGAGTCCCCTCAGTGTTGTCCACATGCCATGTGATGTGTCCAGACAGCCAAGTGCTGCTATGGGGCTGGAGCCCATCAGGGCCACTGCCTGTGCTGGGAGCAAAAAGCAAAGGACATCCATGGATCTGTAGGAGTCCTGCAGTGGTGCTTCACTGGGGGGTCAAGGATGCAACAGGGATGAATCCAAGGCCACTGACCCAGCTACYGTGGGACCTGAGGTCACTTCCACTTCTGCTTTTGGTGCTTTTTTGTGCCTTAGTTTAACCAGTGATGGAGCTCAGAGCTGAGCTCCGTGTGTCCAGCCTGGTCCATTGCCAAAATAATTCCTGCCTTTCAATGTCGTTTATCTCAGATCCTGGGATGAACAGCCCCAGGTCCTCCCACCTGGAAGGGATGGAGTCACCCTGCTGCTGTCTGGCTCCCACAGCAATTCCCCCTGGAGCCCTGAGAGCAGCCCATATCCTCCRGGAACATGACTGACTGCTGAGCCCCCAAAACGGGAAAAGCAGCCTAAAAATAGCCTGGGCTGGAACAAGCTGGAGATTGAATGGGAGCTTTCTCCTCCTGATGTGACGGCTGCTCCTCCGGGTTGAATTCTGGGATGGAGACCTGAGGAAGGACCAGAGATGGGTGRCAAAGGGAAGCAACTTTTGTGGCTTCTTCCCAAAGGATGGGACCTCCTCCAAGACAGAGTCACTGCCTTTGGTGTGGGATCTGGAGCCTGGAGCTGGTGTGGGACCACCCAGGAGCCTGCTGGGAGCTGCTGCCTCCTGTGCAGCTGGGACAAGGGCTTGGGGTTTYATTTATTTGCATCTGGATTGCCATGGTGCTTGTTTGCCTAATGTTTTCCCTTGCTTGTAGCCAGGCACAATGCCAGAGGCGATGTTGTCACATCCCCTCCTGTGAAGGGGGTAAAGTGAGGGGCTCTGGCTGTGAGGGGGATAAAGACACCCTGGGCAGAGGACACCCACCCAGAGGGGCTGGAATGGAGGGAGCTTTAAAGAAAAGCCTTTCCAGTATCCTGGGATGGCCCCAGACTGAGTGCAGAATCACAGCTGAGCATCCAGGTGGGTGTTTGCTGTCCATGTGCCTATACCCTGGGGAAATGAGCTGAGGACACTTTTCCCCTGGGTATTTTGGATGGGGTTCCAGTGTCCCCTGTGCTGGGGTGTCCCTTCACTGGCCATGACAAACATTCCTGCCCAGTAAAGTCCCATGGTTTGGGTGCATGGGCAATGTGGGACATATCCCTGGTGCTGCTGATGTCCCTGCAGTGTGCCCAGGACAGAGATGTGCCAGAAGCCCCTTGGCAACCATCATCCACCCCAGGTTCCTTCCCCATTGGAGTCCCAAGGCTGCTGCTGATGTTTCTGCCAAAATGCACTGGTGCAGTCCAGCACAACCCCATATTGTTGGTGGAGCTGGTAGCTATGGGACAGWCTAGGACCCACAGGAACCTGACAGAGCTTGGAGCTGCTCCCCTGGTGATGCTCAACAGCACCAAGAGTGAGAGCAGGTGATGATGCCTTGGTTACTGAGCAGRGGCTGAYACCCCAAAGTGCAGCTYAGCAAAGGGATGAAGCCATTTCTTGGTTGGTTGTCCCCAAATGTGACATTTTTGGGCCTGTGACCCATCATAGCAGTGCATGGTCTGAAGGTGCTGGGACCTGCCCAAGCCCCAGTGCCTCAGAACAGAGCCAGTTTTGGCATGTCCCTACCAGGGAGGGCAGGAGCCTGGGAGATACTGGGACCTGSCTCTGCCCTGGAGCTGTTGAGTGACACAGGAAAGCAGCTCCACTGGTGGCAGTTTCCCAACTCTCCAGGGTCAGTTTCTTTGTAATTTTGGCTTTACAGGACACCGAGATTTAATATTTAGAAGCAAACTAGCCAGGGTCGGGGTGGAAGAGGCGATAGCTGTGTCTGGAGCAATGGCATTTCATTGCTTTCAGTGTGACATGCCATGTGCCACCCTTTCCTTTCTGCCTCTTACTGAAACTGAGGCACAGGAGGTACCACAGGAGGTACCACAGGCAGCTCCCAGGCTGCCCCTGCCCCAGGCAAGTTCTTCCCAGCCAATTCCCAGTCTCCAGCTGCCCTAACTGGGCCAACTGGCTCTTGTTCTCTTCAGGTCTGCAGCCAAGATGCCCTGTCAGCTTTYTGTGTCTTATTTCTGTCCCTCCTAAAGCTGTTGCAGCCAAAAAGAATGAGATAGGACCAAAAAAATCGATGGATTTGACATTTCCCCCCTCCAGTCCATTCACAATCACTCAGGGTTGGTCAGCAGCTGCTCAGCACAAACCTCACCACGAATTCTTTAGCTCAAAGGGAGGTTTTATATCAAGTGATGCTTCTTTGAGGCAACCCAGACTCTGGGAATTGCTTTTGGCACTTTTGGGGCTTTGCTCCCACATGTGACCATACTGGGAACTGTTTAAAGGGTCTGAAGGCACCAAGAGCCCAGGGAAATGCCAGCCCAGGGCTGGGAGAGCTTTGGCACTGCCAGAGCTGCATTTGGGGCCGAGGGTCTGCTTTAGGCTGTTAAAGCCAAGTTACCACAAAGCCAGGTTGAGGAGAGAGACCTAGAGGAGGGTGAGAAGGATGATAATTCAGTGCTGGGGAGAGAGTTTTGTTTGAAAATTTATTGAAAAATGCAATACAAGAAGCAATACTGAACACTTAGGTCTGCCTAAATGCTACGGCAACTTTCCCTTTGATTCACTACRAAAATCCAAAATAACAGCTCCCACCACTAGCTGATCTAGAAAATTTTGCCAACTTTAAAAGTTCCTATTTTTATAAAGAGTGTAAATGCCTAGCCTAAACAGTTCACAATTGCCTTTAAAAAATTTTACAAAGCTCCTTCATCTTCTCAACTAAATTATTTTTATTTTTTTTTACAAGTTTCATCTCTAAGGCTGGGACACTACCACCTCTTAAGGTAATTGTACAATTAGGAAAATCAGCAAACCAGTTTATTAAAACCAAAAATCAGTCAGTCCTTTGCTAACACATCTCTGTTGGTCAGGGATTGCTAATGGGCAACCACAGCTGCCATTCCAGTTTAATGGAGAACAGGAGCTCTTTGCCTTCCTTTCTATAAAAACATTCATTCATATATAAATAGCTTCCATATAATGTATATTATACAATCAAGACAGTCTCTGGGTAAATTTGTGGAGTGGGAAGAGCTGGGAACATTCATATAAATAGACCTTACTTAGCTGGTTTGTCCCTAGAGCTGACACATCACACTCAGAGCCAAGGATCTTAAACCCAGCCAGAGGTGGAAAGAGTGGGCAGCCCCACCACGGCCCTGGATGAGGCTGGGAAAAGATTCTTCTGCTTTAACTTGTATCTTCTTCCCAGGCTCCTGTCCAGCTCCTGGGCTTGGACACTGTTGGCAGGAGTGGAGCTGGAAAGCCCTGAGGTCAGAGAGCAGGTGATGGCAAAGGGCACGAGGCCATGACTGAAATTAYTGCAGAAGCAAGAAACTCAGCAGGGGGAAGCGTGAGAATGGGCAACCTGGAAACAGCTACCCAAAATCTATCCTTTTGGGAAGGAACCACCTCTCCTGCCAGCAGGTTTCTCACCCCAGAAATTCCCTGCTCAGGGGGTTTTTGACACTCATCGTGCTCAGGGCATGGGGACACCCCAAGGGAACACCCAGGAACCACGTACCCCTAAATTCCCCTGACAGCCAAGTGCATTTAAGTGCTATGGACAAACTTTTATCACACTGGCTTTGCCTGGTAAAGCCCAGAAATCCTCTCAGCCGCTGTTCCCCATGTCCCTTCACTCCTCTGGTGGCTGCTGCAGGGGYGAAGGAAGGACTGAGTGGCAAAAAACTCAATTCCCAGAAAAAGGACAGTGCCAGAGGGTGCTCAGCACAACGGGTGTTTAAGGCAAGCATTACCCAACTAAGTTGAGGACAGTGGAGACACAGACCCATTCCAGGGTCTGTGTGGCAGATTAAGGAAGGAAAGAGCTTTTCAGACAGGGATAGGAAGACTTAATCTCTACAGTGCAGCTGTGGAGCCCAGGACTCCCTAAATCCCCAGAGCAGGRTGCCCTGAGGAACACAGAGCATCCTGGAGGGGACCCTGCACCCAGAGCAGCCCAGAGGCAGCTGCTGGCATGGGAAGGCTGGAGGCTGAGCAATACCCAGGGCCAACRAGGCTCAAAGAAAGCCAAAATCCAGTAGCTCCAGCAGTCTCCAATCAATACTGACAGCTTAATTAAAATTGCACCTGAAGTTGAGAGCTGCACCAGCCCCAGTGTAGTTCCAGGGCTGTTTGCAGCTTAACAGTGCACATCATTGCAGCCTGAGCTAAATCCAGTGACTTCTGAAATACATTATTCAAATTTAAAACTAGAGAGCCTTYTTCTTTATTGCCATTTTCTTCCCACCCACGCCTGAGGAGCAGAGCACTCTGCCCTCAGCTACCACTGTACCACACGATATATATATATATTTATACATAAAAAAAAATAAAAAATCACAACCTCAAGTGGACTAAAGTGTTCCCAAGTGTCTGGGCAGACTCTTTACAGAGCTTGGTTTTTTGCTTCTTGAATCTTGAATTTAAATGCTGGAAGGACAAACCAGGCAAGAACATTCCCATGAGGCTGAGAGAGCAGCAGTGGGAGCACATCCAGACACTGGAATCGTGTTTTTGCATCACCTGCTCCGTGCTGGAGATGGCCCTGGGAGTCTGTAAACTCAGCCTCAAAGATTCAGACAATCACCTTGATATTTCATTCTGGCAAGGGGGTCATGAAACCAAATCCAGACCCTCAGGACAGCGTGGAAGAGGGAATGTCAGCACTTCCCATGTGGTTTGGCTCTATCACAACCAGCAACACCTGACACCTCTTAAAATTCCTTGTTCAGCCTCTCCAAATAGCTTGCAGGCCTAGGAAGGATTGTCTAAAGGAGTTTAAATTAAATGGTAGTAGGATACATGCTCTGGGAAATGGGTAACGTGTTCAGCTTTAAATAGCACTGTGAGGGGAGGGAAAAAACCCAACCCATGACTCACAAAAAAAAAACCCTCCCTAATTTAAAAATCATGAACACAAACWAGTGAAAAACTATGACACTGAAAAACTCAGTTCCTGTGAATGATGCAGAAGCCTACCTTAATAGCATCTCGAGTCCAAACACCTTAAACACACACTTCTAAGGGCTTTTTCATTTAATTGCATCTAGAAAACACAAACAGGTGGGGAGCACTCAGCAGAGACACACAGGAAGAAGGCAAGATGCTATCACAGTCCTCTTAAAGCTCTAAAATTCACAGTATAAAATACTTGAAGCAACTTCCAGTATTCCTTAAATCTAGTCAACTATTCAGATGTGTGCATAGGCTACGTCACAAAACCCTGCTGTGAGCACAGGCCAGGGCTGGAACCCAGCAGGGAGGGAGCTCAGAGCAGCCCAGGGCTTGCAGCAGGGCTGGAGGTCCAGAGCAGTGCTACAAAAATGATCCAGAGGCAATCAGAAATGCTGCACAAGAAGTCTGACTCTTGAACTGACTCTCCTGGCAGAAGGACCCGTGGCTCTGTGATCCCTGATGAGGCAGAGGGAATACAAGTTAAAACAGGGAGCCCTGGAGCCCTGCGAGGTGGGGGTCCTGTGTTTGAAGAGGCTTTGCGTGAGAGGGAATGCAAAATTGAAAACCTGTAAAAAATATTCAGTACAGTTAGAAATATGGCATATTTCTGTCACAATAGATATAAAAAAAAAAAACCCAACACCAAAACCCTATGTCCAATAGGATCCAGTGGAGTCTGGAAAAATCCCAAGTAAAATGTCAAAAGCGCAATTCTTAATAAATGATATGAATGTCTCTGAGTGTCAAGTCTGAAATCCGAGGTCTTTGTGCTCCAGGTAAGTTTCTTGGTAGTTTTGCTGGGTTTCTTTTTCCTGGTGTTCACGCTGGCAGGAACGTTTCCTAGGAAGAGAGGAACAGGGTAAGTTACAGCTGCCAGCAGCTGGGAAATACARGAATCTGCCTCCCTGAAGTGGATGGGAACTGAATTCAGGTGAGTTACCACCAATGGCAGGTGAGAAGTGCCTAAACAGGGTCCAGGAGAGCTGGAGAGGGACCCTGGACAAGGGCCTGGAGTGACAGAACAAGGGGGAATGGCTTCACACTGCTGGAGAACAGGGATAGATGCAATATTGGGAAGGAATCTTTCCCTGTGAGGGTGGGGAGGTCCTGGCACAGGGTGCCCAGGGTAGTTGTGGCTGCCCCTCAATCCCTGGAAGTGTCCAAAGCCAGGCTGGACAGGGCTTGGAGCAACCTGATCTAGTGGAAGGTGTCCCTGACCATGACAGGTGGTGGGACAGGATGAGCTTTATGGTCCCATCCAACCCAAACCATTCCAGGATTCTGTGATCACTGGCATGGGGCAGGATGGGCTTTACAGCACTGGGGCACAGGCAGAGCTCCTAGATTCTTTTAGCAGCTCCTTCCCAAACTTATCAAAAATGCAGAAAAGGTAACTTCCAGGCAAGCTTGGRGTCCAGCTCGGGGGTTACTGGGCACTGACATGGGTACTGGTCKATGTGACACCTACAGCTCCCTATGCTCCCAGGACATTGCAAGTGTTTGGAAGGAAAAGCAKCCTCATGGCAGGAGCTCTGTAGCTTTTAACCCATTTTGGCTCATTTCCACAGGATTAGTGTGCCTGTACTGCCTCATCAGCCTCCATGGATCTAGCATGACCAGCCCAAGCAAGACTCAGCAGAGAACAATGATCATCTTCTTCAAATCTGACCACATTTCCCCAAACCTCATGTGCACAGAGATGCACCCACCATGAGGTGGTCTCTCTACTCACACAGCCAAGTTACTCCTCTGCAATCTCAGTCTCCTGATGCACAACCACTTTGGTCACTGACATGTCTGGGTGCTGCTCCTTGGCAGCCTTGATCGCCTGTGCCAGGACCTGCAGGACAGCATGGAAGAGAATGGGTTAGGGCATGGCACAGCATGGCACAGCATGGCACAGCATGGCACAGCATGGCACCCACATCCCCAAGGGCTTCAGAACCTGCTTCTGATGCTAGGCTGTGAAAAAGAAAAGCGAATGTACTTCACAGAGTTACAGAAGATCCCAAATTGGAAGGGACCTATGTGGATCATTAAGTCCAACTCCTGGCTCTGCCCAGGACACKCCACCAAACCCATCTGTGCTTCAGAGYATTGTCCAATTGCTCCTGGAGCTCTGGCAGCCTYGGGGCYRKGMCCATTCCCTGGGGAGCCTGGGCAGTGCCAGCACCCTCTGGGGACAGAAGAACCTTTCCCTGCTCTCCAKCCYRA